CTGCACAGGAACTCACTGAAGAGGGGGTGCAGGCCCAGCCTCGCAAGGTCCAGCTCCTTGGCCCTCTTGATGGACTCTGGTGAGGGCGCGGGCCGTGAGCGCACGTACTGCTGCTGGGCATTGCTGGCCACGTGGCCCAGGCCCCGCAGCTCCTGGGACGCCTCCAGGGTGCTCTGCAGGCTGCTGTCCTCCTCGTCCACCACGCTCTGTGGCACACGGCCCAGCACGCCATCCACCCCGGCCACACCTGCACCCCACATGGTGTAGTCAGGGCCGGCCTGGCCCCTGCCCAACCCCCCAGCCCGGGGCCCTGAATCACAGGAACACAACTACAAATAATCACTGCAAGAGGTAGCACCACTTATGGGCAAGTTACTATAGCCAGACAGGTGGCTGGCGGTCTGCTTCTCTAGGGGTCTCCTGAAGCACAGAGTATCACCCCTTCACGCATGCCTTCGGCTACTTTCCCACTGCAAGGACAGGGTGAGGGGCTGGCCTGGGTTACGCAGCTGCAGAGCCTAAATTACGGACTGTCTGACCCTTTGAGAAAGTCTCTGTTGCCTCCTGCATTAGAATGCTCAGCCAAGTGTGGTGGCTCACACCTGTAATCTCAGCACTCTGGGAGGCTGGGGCGGGAGGATAGCTTGAGCCCAGAAGTTAGAGACCCGCTGAGCAACAGAGTGAGACAAAAAATATCATGAAATCACCCAGGCGTGGTGGTACACGCCTGCAGTCCCAGCTACTCGGGAGGCTGAGGCGAAAGGATCATGAGCCCAGGAGGCTGAGGCAGCTGTGAGCTGTGACTGCACCACGGCGCTTCAGCCTGGGGGACACAGTGAGACCCTGACTCAAACAAAAAGCAAAAGAACCCTGAATCTTCACAGCAAGCCCACTTTACGGATGAGAAAACTGAGGCTTGCAGAGGTGAAGTGACTGCCAGGGCTGTCAACTGAGTCAGTGGCAGAGTCAGGATTCAGCCCCAGGTAGACTCCATGACAATAACAGTGACACTACTGGTAATAATACACAACAGCAGTGGGGAGAGCAGCAGGTGCCAGTTCCTGAGACTTCCCACAAGCCACGTCTGTGCCAAGGAGGCCGTCACTCTTCATACCATACACCAAGCCTAGGAGAAAAGCGCCTGTTTTCTTTTTTGTGTCATCTTTCACCTTTTTGCTTTCTTTTGTAGATTTGGGGCCTCTCTCTGTTGCCCAGGCTGGAGTGCAGTGGTGTGATTATGGCTCACTGCAGCCTCCAACTCCTGGCCTCAAGTGATCCTCCCGCCTCAGCCTCCCAAAGTGCTGGGATTACAGGTGTAAGCCACCACACCTGGCCTCTGTTTGAACATTTTGCTATGAGAAACACAGAAAGTGTAGGGAGGCCAAGGCCAGAGGATTGCTTGAGCCCAAAAGTTTGAGACCAGCCTAGGCAACATAGTGAGGACTTGTCTCTACAAAAAAAATCAAGAAATTAGCCAGGTGGTGGTATGCACCTGTAGTCCCAGTTACTCAAGAGGCTGAGGCAGAAGGATTGCCTGAGCCTAGGAGGTTGAGGCTACATGAGCCATGATCATGCCACTGCACTCCAGCAGCCTGGGTGACAGAGTGAGACCTCGTCTCAAAAAATAATAAAACTACAAACGGAAAAAACAGTGTAATGAACCTTGTGTGTAAAACATCTACCATCAATCACCAATATTTTGCCAATCTTGCAACAAAGGCATGCAAGGATGGGCCCACTTTAGAGATGAGGAACTGAGGTTCCTGGAGGTTGAGAGATTTGCAAGGGGCATGTTAGAATCCGAGCCCAGCGGTAGGCTGAGAGCCTGCCCTCTCACCACCTCTAGGTTAAGCTGGCCCTGCCATGCTGACCCTGGCTTTGGGGCACATGTGGGACAGCCTCTCCCTAAAAGATGACCTCTGGGGGGCGGCTCTGCAGAACACTTGTGGAGGCTCCTCCCTTTCTGCCGCCCCACCCATCTCAGCCCAGGAGTCCATCCCAGGGGCTGCACACCTGCACTTGAGCATGGGCCAGGTGGCTCTGTGCAGGAGGCTGAGTGTTGCCTCCGGCCCGAGCAGGCCCTAGGCATGGCGCCCATTCCCTCCTGCTCCTGCCTGCCACCTGCCCCTGGAGCTGGGACAGGCCAGGCACAGGGATGGGCTCTTGTGGCAGCTCCCTCGTTGGCCCTGGCTTCGTCCCTGACTCTCTGCTTCGTCCCAGGGAAGCCCTTTGAGATCACCCTTCAAGCCCCCACTTCTGGTCTCCCACGCAGGGCGCCCAAGGCTGCCACCTCCACTGACCCCAAGCCAGTCCTCACCACCCGCAGCTCATGCCCTTGGCCTCATGTCCTCAGACTTCCCGCTGCGGGGTCTGCTTCCAGGTTGCTCAAAGCACAGGGCTGCCGGGCCAGACCACGGTAGGGGGCTCGGGCACCTGGGGGAGTGACTGCCACTAGCAGCCGAGGGTGAGCGGTTGAGTGGAAGGGACTCAGGGCTCTGAGGCGGCCATGGCCTGGGTAGTCCCAAGGAGGCTGCCTCTACTTTCTGAGCTCAGGTCTGAGGCTCTGGGTAGACCCAAACGTCGGCTCCCCTACTCCCTGCTGTGTGGCATGTGGGTAGGCCTCTGAGCCCAGTCTCTCATCTGTAAAGCAGAGGTGATGACAGCCCTCCCTCCGCCAGATGGTGGATGAGAAACAGGGGCGGAGTGCTTAGCGCACAGCAGGCCCACAGATGGAGTCCCACAGATAAGGCTGACAGACAGAGGCCGACAGACGGAGGCTATTGGAGTGCTTTGCCTGCCGCACACCAGCCCACCCTAGGGTGCATAAAGGAATGTTCTGTGAGCTTGGCCTGAGCAAGCCTCGGCTCCTCCCTCCCCTGAGAACTCAGTCGAGTACAGGGGCTGGGCAGGCCACACAGACAGGGGAGCCAGCACACGGGGCTGCAGGGAACCAGTGACCCATCAAATGGGGAAACCATGGCTTAGCACTGCCTTAACAGCAACCCCAGGAAAAGGTAGACTCGGCCCAGCCAGCTCCAACCAAGTCCCAGGAGACACCAGAAACCTGGATTATGTGAAATGCTGAGGTTAAAATACAGGGTTCTTCTCCTGGGGTCAAACCCAGCCCCACCTCCTCCCAAAGCCAGGACCTCCATGGGGGACCCCCAGCACCACCCCAGCCTGCACTCACCTGAGGGTTCCTCGTGGGGGCGGGCGAGGGTGAGGGAGCGGCCCAGGAACAGGTGCAGGTCCAGCAAGTAGGGGACCTCGTCTGGGGCCACCAAGGAGTAGGCTGTACCACTTCTGCCAGCCCGAGCTACACGGCCTGCAGGAAGGACATGGTGGGGCTTAAGCAAAGGAAAAGGAGCCCGCTCCTGCACGAGTCCCACACACCAAACCTGCAGGTGTGAGCTATGCCGGGCCCTGTCCCTCACGGAGGCCTGCCCCGCCATGGGTCCCTGGATTTACCAGCATGATTGTGCACGAGCTACCCCGTGTTCTGGGAGGTTATCGAAAACACAGGTGAGGCACTGCTCATTTTACTAGCAGAAGTCTTCAACAACCCTGCTTTTGAGAATTTCCCCCAAAGAAATCATCAAGGACGCAAACATTCACACACACAGGATTAATGCAGCCCTGCTGGCCTGATCCAAACTGGGAGCTGTCTAAAGGCTTAAGGACAGGAGACTGGTCACGTTAATTGCTGATGGCCACAAGGTGGAATTACAGTATAGGAAGGCAGTTGGTAGGAAGGCAGCCGGCAAACTACAGCCTATGGACCCAACCCCCCTTGCTTGTTTGCATAAAGTTTTATTGGAATATGGCCACGCCCACTCACATATGACCTAACCACAGAGATGAGTAGTAATGACAGAGACAGTATGTCCACAAAGCCTAAAATTTCACACTTAGCCCTTTACAGAAGAGATGGGCGAAGCCACCATGAAATAACATTTAATACTGAATGAAAAACATTCATGATGCGGGTTGATGTAAAAAAAAAAAAAAAGAGGTTATCAAAAAGAACCTCTGCTGTTGTGTTAAGTAATCCTATATGCACCATTACATTTGGGTTTGTCTCTGTATCTTGGAAAACAAAGGGCTACCACATCTGGAGATTTCAGTTGAGGTCGTCTGATTTACAGTTGGTCACGTGTGTCGTGAGAAATGCTCTCAGGGGTCTAGGATCTTCCTAGGGACATGCAGAACCCGCTTCCATAGGGCGTCAGAAACTAGGGGAGGCAAACGACGACCAAGGGCAAGACGTGCACCCAGACCCGGGATTGGAGACCCAGACTGAGGCCTCCCATGAGCCTTGACATGAGGCCAGCAGGAGAGTCCCCACCAGCCCTGTGCAGCATGATGTGCTCACTCCAGGGTGTTCAATACATGCAGGACAACACAGAGAACACCTATGGCCAGTTCTTTCTCTCCCACATGTGTCGATTTCGCCTTTATAAATGGAATATGCAGCCGGGCTCGGTGGCTCAGCCTGTAATCCTGCTCTTTGGGAGGCTGAGGTGAGTGGACTGCCTGAGCCCGCGGGTTCGAGACCTGCCTGGGCAACTTGGCAAGACC